TTTCCATAAAGCTGTTTCATGTAGCCTCTGTATAGAGATGAACAGGGACAGGTGTTTTAAGCCAACTTATAATTCATGAAAATCTAAATTTACATAAAGGGTATGTTGAAAGGTGATTTTTCCACTTTACAAAAAGATCCATCATAAGAGTCTTTAAACAGGCTTCCCAGGTACATGGAAAGTAAGATTTTATTGATTCAAACCATATGTTTGCACTGAATTCTGCAGGAAAATATCTTTTATATAAAGCAAGGTTGACCTATAAGCAATTTCCTCAAGGCACCTCGCCCGGAATGGCCAACTCTCAAATTTCCTAGGTAATAGATAATGGGAGGCCTGGAATGCAGGGGATATTTGAAACCCTAGAATGCAAAGCAGTAATTTCAGCCATTTAGAGTTCTTGTGACTTTTCTCACAAAAATAACTAATGGAGAGATGACTCAGTGTATTTGAACCTCCCCAACTCCTCTGTCTCTATGTCTGTGAAAGTAAGAAAGGCTGGGAAGTGACCCCCAAACAGGCTGACATGGGAAGGAGAACAAGGCATACACAGTTCACCAAATTGATGTTTTTCTCCCAACTCCCCCCACCCTCCCATCACGGCAGCTACTACCACTGATAATTAAGTTGTCTGATTGCAAAATTGGAAAAAAGAATTCAGTGTGTTAATAAATAAGAGCAATTAACTTCTCTGGGTCTCAATTTCCTCGTCTTAACAATGTGGGAGTCCTTTTGAAGATTATTGTTTTATAATTCTGTTCTTGAACCTACCCAGACTTTACAAAATAAGGTAATTTGTGACTGTTCTCTCTGTCTAATGAAATAAATTTCATAGCTATTTCTGCCCTCCTTCTTGGAAAGTTTAATAAATGATCATGAAGTTTAAATCAAAACATTTATATTATTTGTGGAATTGGTTGATTTGACTATTATTGATGGTTCTTGCTAAGAAGAAAATGCTTTGCAGAATTTACTTACAACTAACCTTTATCAGACATATTCCACTGTGATGAAAACACAATAAGCTGTTTTTGAACTGCAGTACGAGGGAAATATTTTAGCAACAGGAAGAAAAAACAATTCATTGGTTGTGGTAATAAAGATCAGGGTAGACTCAGGTATAGGTTAGTTTAGCCCTTCAAAAACAAGACTTCCTTCATCTCAGAAAATCCAAACCTTCAAATTTAGAAGAAATATTTGGGACATAGAAGAAAAATATGTTTAATATCTATGGAATTCTTGGCAACCTTTTTGCCCTCTTCAACTTCCTGAAGCATTATTCTATCCTCACTCCCCACAATTTTGATTTTTTTTGGCCCAATTTTACTATATTTAGTGACATTTTGAGGGAAAATTATTTCTTTAACTGATGCATGTAAAGAAACTTAGACTCTTCTACATGCGTCTGAAAAGCTAAAGAATGTACACAGGAAAACACACATTATTTATATATCTGCTGCTTTGTAGGTTAAAGAGAGATCTTGACTATGTCAACAAATCTGAATTATATTTGGAAGTTGGTGATCTTATATTTTGTCAGTATTTTTTCTCTTCCCTAGTCTATAAATGACACTAGGTCATTTCTTCAGTGGGAGAGAGGACTAGATTAGGAAAGAGAAGGGGGACCAGGAAAAAAAAGGCTGGGGATGATGGAGTGAAAACTCATAGTTGATTCACTAAAATCCCTAAATTAAACTGGATACGGCAAAAGAATTGCAGTAGAAGCAAAGGCAGATGGTGAGATGGCAATGGGGAGGAAAGAGAAAGTTCATGAGCAAGGATTTGCTCATTGAAATTGTAAATTGAAAAATTGACAGCAGAGTCAAGACTGGGAGAGGCTTCTGAGGAAAGCAGGGTACTTTGAACTCTGGTAACAACAGAAATATGGGTATTAGCAATAAGGTCTTCCATGTGTGATACCCAGTGCTGCCATGTGACCAACAACCTCTGCTTTGGATTGAAACACAATCCTAAGAGGACAAATATTTACTCATTTTTACAAAATCTGAAGAAGACAGGAGTTTCAAACTTATGAGGCAGGTCTTCAGGTGAGGAGATTCTGACTCACTGTGTATGCTGGGAGGTTGGGGACAAGAACAGGGATGGGGGTGGGCAGTCAGTCTGATCATGTGTCGGGTCCTCAGGTTGGACAGATGGTTGGATACGTAGATGGATACATAGGTAGTTACAGAGGTAGAGTAAGCAAGCTAAAGATATACACACGTACACACGGAAGTAAAATTTGCGGCTATTTAATAAGAAACAAAGGATAAATGGGGTTTCCATAGTTTGACAAGAATCTTTAACTTAATTGAAGAATATGCATAATTGAGTGACTTTTTCCTAACAGTTACTAGCAGAGCATCAAGTTACTTTCGTTTTTCATGTGTGTTGATACCAAGACCATAGGGGATTGCTTCTGAAGAAAATACCTGTTGGAGAAAATGCCTGTTATTTAAGAATGTGTCCTAGTAATAACCACAGCTTTTTTATTATTATTTCAAATGTGCAGTTTTATTTTCCTAACAGTGCTAAGGAAACACAGTGCTCTTTTAAAGTATCATAATTGCAGGAAACCCTAGTGCATTGTTGGTCCGAATGCAAACTGGTGCAGCCAATATGGAAAACAGCATGGAGGCTCCTCAAAAAATTAAAAATGGATTCAGATGACCAACAGACATATAAAAAGATGCTCAACATCACTGATCATCAGGGAAACACAAATCAAAACCACAATGAGGTATCACCTCACACCAGTTGAATGGCTAAAATCAACAACGCAAGAAACAACAGGTGTTGGCAAGGACATGGAGAGAAAGGAACCGTGTGCGCTGTGGAGAATGCAAGCTGGTGCAGCCACTGTGGGAAACAGCATGACGGTTCCTCAGAAAGTTAAAAATGGAGCCACCCTAGGATCCAGCAATTGCACTACTGGGTATTTACCCAAAAAGCACAAAAATACTAATTCAAAGGGATTGATGTTTATAGCAGCATTGTCTACAATAGCCAAATTATGGAAACAGCCCAAGTGTCTATTGACTGATGAGTGGGTAAAGATGTGATAGATATAGATATACACACAATGGAATATTCCTCAGCCATAAAAAAAAGAATGAAATCTTGCCATTTGCAATGACGTGGATGGAGCTAGAGAGTATTATGCTAAGCAAAATAAGTCAGAGAAAGACAAATACCATGTGATTTCACTCATATGTGGAATTTAAGAAACAAAGCAAACAGAAAAGAAAAAGAGGAAGGCAAGCTAAGAAACAGACTCTTAACTATAGAGAACAAACTGATGGTTACCGGAGGGGAGGTAGGTGGGCGGGATGGGTTAAATAGGTGATGGGGATTAAGGAGCTCACTTGCTGTGATGAGGACTGGGTGATGTATGGAATTGTCGAATCACTGTATGGTACACCTGAAACTAATATTACACTGTACGTTAACTAATTGGAATTTAAATAAAAACTTTTTAGAAAATGGAACTATCCTATGATCCAGCAATTCTACTTCTGCATATACATCCAAAGGAATTGAGTTCAGGATCCCACAGAGATATCTCTACTCCCATGTTCATTGCAGCATTACTTACAATAGCCAAGATATGGAAACATTCTAATTGTCCATCAATAGATGAATGGATTAAGAAGATGCAGTGTGTGTGTGTGTATGTACACACATATACATGTATATATGCATATACATATACGCTGTGGAATCTGAAAAAGACAAACTCGGAGAAACAGTAGAGTGGTAGTTATCAGGGGTTGGGCAGACGGGAAATTGAGGGGCTTTTGGTCAAAGGGTAAAGACTTCCAGTTATAAGATTAACAAGTTTGGGATCTAATGTACAGCATGGTGATGATAGCTAATAAAAATGTATCCTATATTTGAATGTTACTAAGAGTAAATCTTAAATACTCTCACCACAAAAAAGAAATAGTGACTACTGATGGGATGAACTTGGTAGCTAATACTATGGTGGGAATCATTTTGTAACTTAGAAATGTATCAAATCAGTAGTTATACACATTACATTTACACAAGGTTACTTGTCCATCATATCTCGATAAAGCTGCAGGAAAAAAATAATGTATCATAATTGCCACTGTGCCCAATTAGCTACAAATATGCCAGGCACCGAGGGAGCTGAGAACGCACAAGCCCGAGGCTGACTTAGGAAGATGGGGCTACCTGCGAGAGTGAAGGTGGTGTGAAGGAGAGAGGGCACTATAGGAGACAACCCAAGTTCTAATCCCAGCCCTTCCCTGAACTTGTTGGGTTATCAAGGCCCAAAGTCTCATGTGCAAAATGAGAATAGTGTATGTTTGGCGAGGTCCCTTGAAGCACTATCATTATCAAGTCCCGGGAGTTTAACTTCAAAGGTCAATGTCACTTGCAGCTCTGGAGGCCTGTTTAGAGGAGTTCAGTCAGTTTTTAGTTATATGTTAATGGTAACCTTTCAGTTCTTTCATTTCTAGTGAACCAATGGTTTGAGAGTTTTACTCTTTAACCACATGACTTTGCATGTTGCACAATCGATATCTCAGTGGAAAGATAGAAGGAAAGAAGGAAGAGAGGAAAACGAGAGGAATTTAGTGACTATTAGTTTTGCCCTTTCAGTCTCTTATTTTACTTCATTTTATGCAAAATGATCTTGTACTACTTAGAATAAAGACTTATGGTTTGATGAGTTTAGCTCATAAATATTTTAAATTTACCCCCGAAAGAACATGGTTATTGTTTTTTTTGTGTTTTTTTTTTTTTAAGATTTTATGTATTTATTTGACAGAGAGAGATAGCAAGAGCAGGCACACAAGCAGGGGGAGTGGGAGAGGTGTATAACAGTGTATAGCAGGGAGCCCGATGCTGGGCTCGATCCCAGGACCCTGGGACCATGACCTGAGCCAAAGGCAGACGCTTAACGACTGAGCCACCCAGGCGCCCCAAGAACATGGTTATTGTTAACAGCCATCTCCTCCTTCATGTTTTTCTAGATTTGGAAAGAAGAAAGATGACAGAGGTGGCAAGGCTGAGCAGAAGGGCGCTCTGAAGCATGGTGGCCTAAGGGAAGAAGAGCTGGAAAAAATGAAAGAAGAACGTGAAAGGTGAGCAGAAATGCTGAGCTCCTTATTTTGTTAGGGTCCATGGCCCATGTTAAATTGGGTTGTTGCATCCATGAACTGGAGAAATTTTATTTTAAGAAGCATAGCATTTCATACAGAAGAAAAGGTACCTGATATAAAAAGGAACCTGCCTTTCTGGGGAATTTTTATTATATTTGGAGAAGAAATTAACTTTATGTTTTTATTAGATCAGTACTTATAATTCCAAAATATGCTACCCCAGTTTCGACTATATCAGTGTATATTTTCCCTATGGTTTAAACAATGAGTTTTTTTTTTTTTTTAATAAAAAGGTCATTTTAATGCTGATGTTTAGAACTATCAAATTTCCATAGTCTGTTCCTAATTTCTGTCAAGCTGTTGTATGCCTTCTTAATTTTATTCTGCTAAATCCATTTGGGGGGTGTAATTTGAGAAGGCCATGTCCTTCATTTTTAAAAAAGCCCATGTCTTTTATTAGGCTATCAGCAAGTTGCAAAGTATGTCGCCCATCTGTTAAAGGGCCGGTTTCATTTACTGAAATAATGACAGTTTGCAAGGGCTGAATTCTCCTGTTTGAGGAGCTTCATGTTCCATTTGGACAAGAGGCCCTTCACTTATCTTTGAGGTTAACTCTGGCACTTACCCCAAGTCGATGTGTAAATGTCTGATTTTGAAACATGTAATTGAATATTCATATTTCTCCTGAAAGTTCTTCACCTTCACAACTAAATGGAGCTTGGAGAAAGACTGAGATTATGACAAAACTAGCATATCATTTTAAGTACTTGATTCTGACTTCACCATGCATGAAGTCACATTTGTCCAACTTGTCACTTGCTTAATAGTAACAATAGTCCTTATGGTTTTTAGAGTCTGTTCTTGTACTTATTTTAATACTCTAGTAATCTGTACCAAGAAAATCATACCCATTCATCCTATTTTCTAGCACAGAGCAGGCTGAATATCTACTGTTAACCTTTGACTCCTGTCTTGTAGTCTAGTCCCATCGAGAAGGCTGACTTTATCAATAGCAACGAAAGAAACCCTATTTAGTCCTTTCTCATTTTAAAGAGGTTGATAAGCTCTAGGTTCCAGGGTCAGTGGAGCAGTTAAAAGGAAATCAAGTGCTTAATATTGTTGTTGACTATTCACCTGACAGAGCTGCCCCCAAAACAGGGAAGATGATTCTCCATCATAGCCCAAGATTCAGTAATCCTGTAATGTAAAATGTAATTCAGGCGAAGATTTTAATGCGTATATTGGCAAAGACATCCATGTGGTGAGCCCACGTCATAGATCTTTGCTGCTCCCCTGACTTCACTTACTGAGGCACCACAGCCTTGCCTCGTCTTCAGGAAACTGGGCTGTTTCCTGGAATGCAGACTTCACATTTTCTGTAGCTCAATACTTGCTTGGGGTTGGGAGGCTTTCCTCTTAGTAGCTAGGGAACTGTGTGCCAGCTAGAAAATTGATAACCCATAAAATAAGGTGGGTTGTCTTTAAGCAAGAGTTCATTTCCTTTCTGGTGTTGCCTTAAGGAAGCAGGTGCCTGAGGGAGTTTTGTTCTTAAAAGCAGGGCTGTAAATTCACCTCAGCTGGCTATATAGGCTTCAGGTCCAATTTTCTTAAAATATGTCTGGTCAAAATATTGAAAGAACTGTACTCTTAGCCTCTACTTAGGCCACTTCCCACACATGAACACGTAAAACACATCTGAGACGGGTTTCCTAGAGACAATGTTGTCTCAATCCTGTGAGAGAGGAAGAAGCTGGAGGAGTTGATTTTATGGTTGGGTGCTCTAGAATTAATGACCAAGAGCATTTCAGCAGCTCAGGAGCGGAGGGCCAAGGAGGGTAGAGGTGGAGACTCAGCATTTGGCATTCCTCCCAAACCTAGAGTCCCATTTCTTGGCTCTCCACCATCCATAGGAAACCAGCTCACAACCCTTAAAGAACTCAGTGAGCGTATCACTTTGTGACATGGCCATGGGGAAAAAATAGAATAAAATAAGAAACAGTGTATAAAAGTTCACCAAGTGGTCTTTTTTTCTAATGCCTTTAGAATTTGTTACCTTAAGGTGATTCAAGCTGTCCTATTGCTTATTTGTTTCATCCTAGCTGTCACAGATATAATAGCGTTTCATTCACTTATCCCTTCTTCAAAGGATTTAAAGTACTTAAATAAAATATATTGTATAGTGCCGGAGCCAGCTTGTATCAGCTTGTGAGAAGAATTTTGGGAGCCGGTTGTTAAACCACTGGTGGCTTGACATTGGTCATGGTGGGAGTATTTACACCATAGAAATGGGCAAATGCAATAAGTTGAGTTTGTTTTTTCAAAAAGCCGGTTAATCAACATACCACTGAGGGTTTATAACAACTCTATTTGGTGTATAACCAGGAAGAAATTATCCAAAATAAAGGCTAAATAAAGATTCATCCAAGTCAAACCATATGACTTCCTCTGTGTTTCTCAAAGTGTAGTCCATAGACCACCTGTATCAAAACGAGTCACATGGAGAGCTTGTTGAAAATAAGCTCGAGTCCCACACCAGTCTTGCAGAATCAGAATCTTGGGATTTGGAGCCCAGGAATCTGTATTTAATAGGCAAGCCCAACATAATTCTTCAGTATTTTAAAGTCTCAGAACCCTTGACCTGAAGGGACAGGATTTGGTTGAAACATTAAACAGTCCTTATCCTATGAAAAATGACACACAGATTTTTTTTTTTCCCAAGAGGATTGAATAAGCCGGTCTAAAAATATTGTCATCTTTCTCACGTGCCCTTTCTGAAGTAGCCTACCTTACTGGCATATTTTTTTGCCAACAAGAAAGAAACCCTTGCCAGTGCTTACCCACCTAAGAGTATTTGGATTGCTTACCCCCAGTACAACCCATGCACACAAAACTTACAAATACAGTAAGTTCATTAAGAAAATTTTGGAGACATAAAAAAGCATAAAGAAGACTAACATGATCATGCATAATTCCATAACAATTATTAATATTCTTATGATCTTTTTACTATGTGTATATTTTCTTTGAAACTTGATATCCATCCTGCATATATAATGTCTCACTTTTTCAACAGCATTATATTGTGAGCATTTCCCCATGTCATTAATGTTTTGAAAATATGCCATTTTGATGACTGTCTAGTATTCTGCGAGATCAGTATACTACAGTATACTTACTTATCTTCTGTTGTCAAACATTTAGTCTGTTTCCATTTTTCACTCTTTCAAATAATACTTTGATGAGCATCCAGATATAAAAGTCCTGATAGATGACCTCTTAAATCATATAGTTCCTGTTAGAAAGTTCAATTTCCTTGTAACTATTTTACCTGAGGATTAATTTAACCTCAACTCCAAATTTTAGGATTATCCCTCTTCATTGCTTGCTTTATTTTTCTTATGATTTCCATATCTCATTTTAATGTATCTACATATTTAACTCCTGATGAGGAATTGTTGTGGTGCTATATATGAATAATGTGTTCATAGCTATAGCTATGAAAAGGTCAAAAAAAAAAAAGCCATAAGAATTATGGAATTATGGGGCACTGGGGTGGCTCAGTCGTTAAGTGTCTGCCTTCGGCTCAGGTCATGGTCCCAGGATCCTGGGATCAAGCCCCGCATCGGGCTCCCTGCTCGGCGGGAAGCCTGCTTCTCCCTCCCCCACTCCCCCTGCCTGTGTTCCCTCTCTCGCTGTGTCTCTCTCTGTCAATTACATAAATAAAATCTTAAAAAGAATAATGGAATTACAAGATTAAACTGGAGGAATGCAGAGCCCTCCAGTGGTTCTCAGGGAGGGACAATTTTGCTACCAAAGAAACATTTGGCTATATCTGGAGACATTTTTTATTGTCACAACTTCGAAGGAGGAACAAGCCCGGGAAGGGAATTGCCAGGTGCTAGGTAGAGGCCAGGAATGCAGCCAGACCATTTACAATGCATGAGATACTCCTGTCCCCTAACAGTGAGTCATCTCACTCAAACTGTCAACAGTGTGTAGGCTGAAAACCCCTGTTTTAGCCTCTGGACTTCACAAGTAAGGGTACTCTCCTGGACATTAGAAGCTCCTTGTCTCATGATACCCTGTGGATAACGCAGAAAAATGTACACCAGATGACATAACCATAGAAGGATTATTAGCTATTCAAGAAACTGTACCCAAAGCTTGCCAATGAATAGTCCATCAATATAAACTTGTGAGAAAAAGTTTTCCTTCAAAATTTATTTTTAACTCTGGCCTACTGAGCATTGGCATCAGTGCTGTTGATCAGATTGTGAATGCCAAAAATCTGCAGTGGTTGATAATGTGTTGATGACAGAATCATCTGGAACAATGTATTGAATCAAACATAAAGAAACTTAATAGGAATATATGTAAAGTCTTGATTTTAGGCCCAAAACCGAACTGTACAAACACAGGATGTGGAAGGTTTGACTTAATACCAAATATATGAAAAAACTGCCTGATGGTTTTAGTTGAGGGTAAAGTTTAGCATGAGTCAACATGAGGATGTGCCTGCCAGAAACTTAATCCAGTCCTAGGCTACATTACTGGAAGTTCATGTGCAAAATGAAGGAAGAAACAATAATTCCTGCTTTATACTACTCTGACCACACTTCGAATATCCCATTGCCTTTCTCACACACACAGAATAGCACCAACTAAATCCTGTCTTTTGAAAAATGTTGAAGGACCTGGGCATACATAGTCTTAGAGGCAAGACTGAGTTGATGTCACATGATCAAAGAACTTTCACATAAAAGAGGAATTAAATGCATTTTATAGCATCTATTCTTTCTCTCTCTCTCTTTCCTTGTTCATCCATTCATTTATTTTCTTGAAGATACTAATGGGGAGTCATTTTAAGAGAGGTAGTCTTCAGCTAAATAGAAGGGAAAACATCCTAACAATTAGAATGTCACATGAGAGTGAGTTTGTTGACACTGAAAAATGTCTAATAAGAAGCTGATGATCACAATGAG